CTATGGTTTTCATTTGAGTATATAAATGCCTCTCTCTCTCTCTCTCCCTCCCTCCCTCCCTCCCCCCTTCACGTGGTTAGAAGCATTTTCGGAAATTGTCATTCTAGTGTTTTCTCGTCTGATTATCTCTGTAAATTTTTTGAGTTTTGGTTCTGATTGTTTTTGGTAAACAATCAATTGAAAGAAATTTGTATAGATTACTTGAACTTTGTGCCGAAAGAGCGGCGATAGAAAACTTGAAGAAATCTATAATTTCTTCAGATATTTGTACTATTTCTTAGTAAATTCATAGCGGAATCAAACTAATCTACTTGTAGATGTTCAACGGATGAGTAGACCTAAGGATGAACATCCTGGCCCTTAGTGGCGAAAAATTCTTCTCGTTCTTTTTAATTTTCTACAAAATTTATATTTTCTATAAATTGTGTTGTTAATCCTTCAAAAAATACGATTCCGAGACCAAAAAGTGGTATCAAAGGCTGAAACTTTGTTCTTCAAGCTTTAGGGTGTGATTTCTTGAAACCCTAGTTTATGGTTTTTTGAATCTCTATAAATTTTTGAAACATCTCAAACGTTTTTTTTTTTTTTGGAATGAATCATCTTCAAAGAGCTTTTTCTTGTCAAAATGTTTCTTTGATCCAATTTTTTATTGGATAGACCTCTTTTCGTTCTTGATGTTTCTAAGAAAACTCTTTGATTCACCTTTGATCTGGAGGTTCTCGTGTTTACTAAGTTTTCTGGGGATTTGACTCTTGACTTGGCCTGAACTGGCGTGGTATCTTCAAACTCATCCCGAGTGCTAGTGAGTTAGGTTGACTTACTCCGAGATCTGCTGTTTTCTTGACTTGCTGCTGAGTCGTACTAAGTCATTGTGACTCGTGGCATACCTATGCATAATCTGGATTTCTGAACTGGTCTGATGTTATTTCTATGCACTCTTCTTACCGAAACTTCAAAGTTTAAGGTATAATCTTCCATATTCTTTACTTTTCAGTCAAACTAATTAAACCGTTCTTGTCTAAACTTGATTTATTTATTGTTGTAAATGATCTACTATTACTTTCCTTTGTTCAAGATCTCCTGTGAGGATCTGGGAATCCAAGGGAGTAGTGGATTTACGGGTCATCTCCCCTTAAACCTATCAAATTGACAATTTAATTTAATATAATTATTTGAATCGATCATTAAATTATTATATAATTCTGAATTATTTGAATTGTATAATCTGTATTATAAATTGTGTAAATTGTATGGTTAGAAGAAATTTCTACAATATTCTATCTTACTTTGAACTGGGAATCCAAGGGAGTAGTGGAATCATGGGTCGTCTCCCCTTAAACATGTCAAATTGACAATTTGATTTAATATAATTCTTTGAGTTGATAATTAAGTTGTTATATAATTCTAAATTACTCGAATTGTATAATATGTCTTCTAAATTGTGTAAATTGCATGATAAGAAGAAATTTCTGCAATATTCTATCTTACTTTGAAATTTAAACATTTTATAATTTTCTCGTACTGCCCGAATCTATTCTTCTCTGTGTTGTATAAACTTGATTTTGTGACTTTATCTACTATTATGACAATTTCACACAAATTTGAAGTAAAAGTCTGGAAAGGAATTGGAGATTTTAATCCCTGATGCCAAAAAATTAGCGTTATGTTGTTACAACAGAGGTGTGCTGCTGCCCTTGATGGATCATTGGTACTGAAATTAGTGTTTATAGGTAAAGGATATACAAATTAGATGAGGTTGCTTGGGGTTCAATTTTTATACATTTGTCTTATAGTGTGATAAGAAAGATGGGGGAAATCATTGCTACTGCAGCTTTGTGGACTAAGTTAGAATCTCTTTACTTAACCAAGACAATGTCTAATAAATGTTATCTCGTTAGACAATTTTATAATTTCAGATTTGATACCTCCTTCACTCTAGAAGAAAACATTGATAAATTCACTAAATTGATTCAAGATCTGACTAATTGTGATGAGAAACTATCTGATAATCAACAAGTTGTGGCTCTATTGAATGCTCTAGGTAATAAATATAGAGAACTTAGAAATGCTTTAGAATATGGAAGAGAAGATTTGATAGTTGCTATTATTACCTCAGCCTTAAAAAGTAAAGAACTTGAATTAAAATCTGAATTCAAGGACTATAAAACTGGAGAAGGGTTAAATGTTAAAGAGAAATCGAATCAGAACAAAAAAAGTAATCAATGCAATTTCAACTCTCATAAGAAAGGAAAAACAATCAAACTTCCAAATGCAGAAAGCAGAATAAGAGTTAACTGAAATCTAAGAATCAAGTCAGGAACTATTAATACTGTGGTAAAACTTGACATTTCATAAAAGACTGTTTCAAAAAGATGTTTGATATGAAAAGAAAGTCTAATCCTGATGGGTTTGCTACCATAGCCTTCAATAATGAATTAGAGATACAACGAGTTTTCCTTTTTACTTTAACTAAAAGAAACCCAAAGGAATGAGTTTTTTACTCTGATCATTCTTTCCATATGTGTCCCATTAAAGAATGACTCACTGAATTTGACGATCTTAATAGTGGTCAAGTTCAATTGAGAAATCATGATATGACTTGTAAAATAAAAGGTATTGGTAAAGTTAACATTTCATTATAAAACAGTCATATCTTTGAGTTGTCTTTAACAAGATATGTCCTAATCTTCAAAGAAATCTGATTTCCTTGGAAGAATTAGATGATGAATATGAAATTAAAATTCACAAGGGGTTTACCAAAGTGAACTTCAATTCTAAGGAAATAATTTCATCACCCAAGGTTAATGGAACTTGCACACTTCAAGCTAAACAATTAGTTGGAAATTTATAAGCTGCTATTTAGTCTTCTGATGATAAATCCTCAATTTGGCATAATAGACTAGAGCATATTAGTGAAAAGGGATGGATTCATCCTTAATTCTTAACAAACTTGGATATTTTGGAAAAGATAATATTATAAGTTTAAAATTTTGTACAGATTGTGTCATTGGAAAACAAAATAATCTACCTTTTAAAATAGGAATTCATAAATCCACTTCAATATTTGATTATTTACATGCTGGCCTTTGGAATCTATCATCAGTAAATACTCTGAGTGAATTTAGATTATATCTACTGATTGTAGATGATTTTTCAAAAAAAAAAATAAAAATTGGACATTCCTTTTAAAGACTAAATTTGACACCTTCCAAAATTTTAAACAATGAAAATTGATGATTGAAAATCGAAATAGTAACAAAATCAAAGCACTTAGAACAGATAATGAGCTTGAATTATGTAATACTGAATTTGATCTTTTCTATAAAGAATTTGATGTTTTAAGGCATAGACCAACAACATACACTCCTCAGCAAAATAGAATTGCTGAGAGAATGAATAGAAATTTACTTAAAAAAGTTAGGTGTATGTTGTTAAGTTCTGGTCTTCCAAAACTGTTTTGGGACGAAGCTTTAAAAACCGCCACTTATCTGATTAATAGAATTCCTTCTAGTGCTATTGATTTTCAAATTCCTGAATCACTATGGTTTGGAAAGTCCCCAAATTATTCCAAACTTAAGGTTTGATGTGCTACATATTTTAATCAAAATAAAAGCAAACTTGAACCCAGATATTTAAAATGTGCTTTTCTGGGTTATGATGAAGAGTCTAAGGGAAATAGGCTTTGGATGAGAGAACAAAATGGGTTTAAAGTTATCATAGGCAGAAATGTTATCTTTACTAAAGTTGTTTTTCCTTGTAATGGTTCTGCAAATCAGAAACAACCTGAATATGTTACTTTTAAAGAAACTGTTCTAGAAAGTAATGCAGATAATTCTACCGAACCTAATGATTTGATTGAGGTGGAGATTACTCAACCTGAAATAGATCAAGCTCAAGATAAACTTAGCCCCTCTTTTGTAGCCTTTTTGGATAATGTGTAATTAAAAATTAAGGGTGTGTTTGATAGATATTATTTTGGAAGAATATATTTTGAAATAGTAGATTAATGGAGAATGTGAGGTTGAAAAAGAAGAAAAAGTTATTGATGTGATGAAAAATATTATTTTAATGAAGAATGTATGGTTGAAAATGAGTAGAAGAATNATGCACATTTTGAGTCCAATAATGCATTTTTTTTATGTGATGAGGAATATGTGGTTGAAAAAGAAGGAAAAGTTATTGATGTGATGGAAAATATTATTTTATTGAAGAATGTGTGATTGAAAATGAATAGAAGAATGAGAATGAAAATTTTAATGGGTACCAAACACACCCAGGAAAATTTTGGTCACTCGTGTAAAATATTTTATTTTATGAATATATGATTAAAAATAAATATGAAAAATAATTAGAGTAAAGTAACGAAAATCAAATATGGACTTATAATGAAAACGTATCATACCACTAGCCTTCGCTTAAACTTGCCTTTTGTGGCGATAACAAATATTATGACCACTAACAAATATTAACGTGCACTAATTATTTAGAGAATAATTTTGAAGTTCATTTATTTAGAGAACAATTTTGAAGTTCATTTATGGTCTACGTGAAGTGTAATCATTGTCACATTATTCAATTATATTTTAACTTTCATTAAATATTTATTATTCCATGATTCTTAGATTGTATCCAGAAGGTCCGAAACAAAAAGACATTTGAGCCAACATAGACCAATTAAAAACACAGAAATTTTGTCTTTGTCAAGTGTCAACCTTATCAACTTTCCATGGTCCCAAGTTGCCACCCTGTTATTTGACCTAAATTGATCACAACAATTATTATTTTTTTTCTCCTTGGTAAATAATAATGAAAGAGTAAGAACAAAATGACCAAATTAAGGGATCATTGATCAAATTTCATAAAAAATTCTCGACCACTCGATTGATTATTATTGCCATCGAATCGTATACTACATATTACAAATAAATTAAACCATTCAACTAATTTTTTTCACACGTTAAACACGCTTGACCTTGAATAAATACACACGTCCTTAAACATCACCATCGGGATGGAAATCGTTGTGAAAGAAAAACCCTACAATCGTCCTTAGGAACGATAGTAGGGACATAAGTGATTTCGTCACAACCATCCGATCTGTCCCTTTTGAAATCAATCAACGTTGAAAACATTGCAATGAACAACTTCAGATGGTTGATCGCATACCTCTGGCCCACACACTGGTGGGACCCAGCTCCAAAAGCTAAAAAGTTCCTCTTGTAAACCCGGTCTTCCTGCCTCTCCTCCATGAACCGATCCGGATCGAACCGCTCCGCTTCAGCAAACCCCTGAAAAGAAGAGTCCAACACCGACGGAAAGACAATAGTACCCTTCGGTATTACATAATTTTCCGTCAATGGGAAGTCCACTCCGGCAATGTGTGGCACCATGGTCGCTGGAGCTCTGATCCTCACAACCTCGCGCGCCACCGCTTCGGTGTACTTCATCTCCCTCAGATTCTCCCCTGTTATGGAGGCGCAAGACTCCGGCACCCAATATTGCGACACCTCTTTCCTCACCCTCTGTAAAACTTCAGGGTGTGAATCCAAGAACGTTACGGCCCACAATAAAGATGAAGTAGAAGCATCCTGTGAAGCAAACAAGAAGTCAAACAAATGACCCCCAATTTCCATGTAGCTGTATTCAAATGGTTTTTCTGCAAATTCCCTCAAATTTTCCTGCATCCAGAAGTCAATTAAGCACGTGGGTTCTTCTCCGGCCTTCATTCTCTTCTCGCTTTCTTCTGCACAACCGGCGAGGGTCTCAACCAGTCTCTGCACAGCAAGCCTCGCATTTCTGAAGGCAAAACCCGGTAAATCAATTGGGAGTTTCATCAATCCAACGTTGAAGAAATTGTAGTCTATGTTAAATCTCTGACGCGCCTTCCCGCTAAGGTAAGGCCCCACGAATACTGTTTGCGAGGTATCCAAATTCATGTCCCGGCAGAGGATTCGAAGTGGAATAGACCCAGATGACTCACTTCCCGCTTTCTGGCACCAGGACTTAAGGTGTTTGAGCATAATCCTCTGTTGTATATTAGTATAGGTTTGAAGGGCTTTTGGGGTGAAGTTAGGCGCAATTCGTCTGCGCATGTTCTTGTGTTCCTGTCCGAACATGTAGATTAAATTGTGCTCGCCGAATAGTTTTTTCCCAAACGGGTGGCCGACGAGGTGGAAGGCGTCGGGGCGGACGTTGGCGAAGATTTTGTGGGAGAGCTCGGTGGAGTAAACATAGAGAATATAGCGGCCGACGATGTAATTCGCGGAGATTCCAAGGGGGCCGGATTTTGCATAGGTCGACTGGAGGTCCCAGAATTTGGTCGGATTAACAACTAAGGAAATGGCGTTGCCTATAAATGGAGGTACTAGTGTAGGACCTGGCAAGAAACGTCTCTTCCTTATGTAAGAAATCTGTTCGAGGAGGATAAAAAATGCTACAAAGGAAATAAGGTACGGAATGTACGATGTAGCCATGCTACGTAGAGAAAGAAACACCATCGTGTATTTGTGGTTTTTCGTGTTGAATCTGGTGGTGATTTATGAAGAAAAGAGGTCAGAAATGGAGGGGGTGAGTCAATATAGGCAACTGGAATCTAATTATGTTGTAGGAATGTTCATAAATTGGTAAAAAGAGAATTGGTAGACCAAATCTGAATTTTATTTTCATATGCAGACAATGTTCAAGAAAGGTGTAATAAGAAAGAAGAAGAGATTGATATGTGAGAAATTTTGTGGATTTCGAAGGGGGTTATCGAATCAATTGTTCTTGTGGGGTAAGAATCCTGCTGGGATTCTGACCTGTTCTCATGCCAAGAAAAGTAAGCTACATTTGAAAAAAGGGCAGATCGCTGATTCAGCTAAACATGTCAAAAGGATTTTATCCCCACATGAATGTATTCATATGCCGGCTAATAATTTTCTTATAAACAGAATCAAGACCTTTGTCTGTATAGTAATGCTATATGCAGTCATTTATTACTGTAGTCGTCTCAAGTATCAAATCACTAACCGTCACATCTAGATAACGTAAGGTGACTACGACAGTGAGGGACTGCAAATAGTATTATTTTTATTTATAAGGCTGCATCTACCAGTCACAATAGCACACAACTGCAGCAATAACTTGTAGCTATATAACAATTCAATATCTTCAAATTTTTGTGCAATTTCCTCATATGCAGCTGAAAACTGAATCCAAATATAATAAGCCTGAGTAATCCTTACAAAAGATGACTACTTTTGCGTGACCAAATTTATCACATAAAAGTAATCCAATTGGAAAGAAAGGGAAGCTAGTAGTTGACTACCATAAAATGCAACAGGGACGGACTGGTCTGAAAAATGAGTCACTAGCGCAGAGGCGCTACATTTCTGTCCTTCCTGCTGTTTTGTGGCGCCTAGGTCTCGGGTAGAATTTTTCTTTGTTCTTCTTTTGGTATTATCTATTGACTATTTTGTCATTTTTCTTTTCCTTCTCTTCTTTTGATTCCAAATCACTCGTTTTCTCCACTTTTACCATCATTAACTCCAACTCATCAAATCTATAAAACAACACTACTAAACATATTAAAAACGTTCAATACTTATAAGATCTATTCAATAATCAAGTTAAAATAGTACATAACTCGCGAATAAAGCACACTCGTCAATCACCATGAAATGGACAGCAAAACTTCAGGGCTGGAAATCATGGCAGGCAAACTACCAATAATTCAGCTAGGTATTGCTTGCTACATGCTGAAAGTTTTTAAAACTAACTTCCTAAGTTCGTAATTTTAAATAAAATGCGAAAAAAATCCCAACAAACTGGCCAAACTCAATGGTCGTCCTCAATATTAAAAAGAAGAATGATACATTATATGATTCTCAAAGCAATGACATAAATAAAAGCAAGGCTGAAAACCATGCTCCAATGGACCATAAGCTAAGAAAATGAGGGGAAAAACATTAAAATTAATGTTCTTCTCATAGGTATGTCTTAGCAAAAACATTTCCACTAGTTGTCTGTCAAAACTGCAAATGTGGCCAATAATGGTAAAATTCAAAGATGAGACATTGGAGAAAAATATTATATTAAATGAGTTTGTGGTAAATGAGTCTCAACATACTTGCATTGAAAATTTTAATTAGAGGATCAAATTAAACATATATATATACAGGAAAGAAAAAAGAAGAAAAAAGAAAGAGAACGGGAAAAAAGGGGAAAAAGTCTAAGGCAGGAGGAAGAAAAAAATGGCAGAAAAGAGGAAGAAAGAAAAGAAGGAAAGAGAAAACAAAAGGAAATGAGATTGCAAACATCACAAATTTTCACGTTTCGTCAATTTTTGGTGATATCTTTCCACTTTTACGTGTTTTTATTTTTAAAATATGAATAACTAATTTTTATTTTAGGGAAACAATGTAGTCGACTTGTGATCCTTTATTTTTTTATTCAAGATTTCT